GGACCCTTGTGCATCTTCTTCATGCCGTACACAGGCCTCGGGAGTTGAGGGGAACACTCTGCACAGCTGCTCTGCTGGAAGCCAGACTCAGGAGCTCTCTGCTCTGCAACTGTCCCACTCTTGAACTTGTCTCTATTTCCCCAAACAAAGCCATAAACCTTGAGGTGGGCAGGAAGCTACGCTCCTCTCTTCTTCCACCCAGATTGGAAAGGGCACTAACCTTCCTCTGTGGGCCAAATGCCCTGAAGCAGGCTGCATCCTCTGGACTCATCCTCTGGGCTTGGTCTCAAGGCCCCTTTACACTGTTAAAAAATGTGAGGAGCCATGAAACCTTTATGTGGATGGCACCATTAATATGTTAGAAATTAAAACAGATAATTTCCTAATATATATTTCCAAATTAACAGTAAACTCATTACATGTTACTATATAATACACATATATTTTATAGAGGAAAAACTAAATTTTTCAAAACAAAAATAATTGGTAAAAAGAATAGCACTGTTTTATATTTTTGCAAATCTCTAATCTGTTTTAGTAGAAGAAAGCTGGATTCTGATTTCTACTTCTGCATTCAATGTACTCCAACATGTTATTTCTGCTTGAAGTATATGAAGAAAATCTGGTCACACAGATACATGGTTGGAAAGGGAAGAAGTATGTGTTTAGATTCTAGTGTGTCTACTCTCATACTATGCCACAACCTGAAAAGTGGTGTTTTCTTGAAATCACTTGCAATGTGGCAGCATTTGGAAAAGCACATTAATGAAAATTTTGAGCTCCATTAGGTTAAAACTCATTGGTCAAGTCTTCTTAACGTTGGAGAATAACTCCTAGCATATTTGGTACTGGATATTTAATTCATGCTGAGGTGAAATAGTTTTACTCATAATGTCTTGTGTACAATCAGTGTAAATATCAACACAATAAGAAAGACAAATCAAATCACACCTTAGTTTTGCCATTTTTAAAAAAACCCCAATTGCCGAATAAGTTTTGTTGTTCCAGTAGTCTTAACCTCACAAACACCAAGAATCCCAGGGGTTTCTCCACCACTCCAGGAAGTCCCAGAGAACTAGTGGCTTACAGCAAAGACCCTGTAATTCAAGTTTTGGCTATGTGAAACATGCAATTCCTTTTTCTCTTGTAAAGTTCTTATAGATGAAAACCTTGATTACCAGACTATTGTTTCTGCAATGTTCTTTTTTTACAATTTTTTTTTAACCTAGTTGAGCTATCCAACTTTGCAATGTCATCTTTCCTTTCAGTTGTGCCAGTTCTCACATGAAACAGTGGTACCTGGAACTTCCACATATGGAGAGCTAGATGGCAAAAAAAAAATAACAGTCTCATGAAGGGAAAAGTGGCTTAGGGTCTCCATTTCATTTCATAGGCAGTCAAATGAGTTTCATGGGTGCTCCTGAGCCTACGGAAGCACAAAGAATGGGTGCGAGGAGGTAAGGCACAGGTGGTGAGGAAGATCACCCACTGAGAAGGGTGCAGATAACAGATTCAAAGACCAGACAGAGCACTGGACTCAGCAGTGAAGTGGAAGTCTTTGCTTTAGCTACGGACAAGGTGAGAGGATATAGATTTAGAAATAAGATTGGCAAGATAAACAGGAACCATACTGTATCCGAGTTCTCCAGAGAAACAGAAGGAGTAAGATAAACAGAGACATTTAGATAATGACATTTCTTGTGAAGGACTGACTCATGAGATTATGGAGACAGAGAAGTCCTCTAATAGGCCCTCTGCAATCTCCAGAGCCAGGAAAGCCCGGGATGTCATTATTCAAAATCCAAAAGCCTGAGAAGTAGGAGAACCAATGGTGTAATTTGCAGCATGAGGGTGAATGCCTAAGAACACAGAGCTCTAGATGTGTCTGAGGGCAAGAGAAGATAGATGTCCCAGTGGAAGGAGAAAGAAAGGTCACCCTACTTCTACCTTCTTGTTATATCCAGGCCTTCAAGGGATGTTTTTAAATAAACAGAAGTTGATTTCTCACAGTTCTAGAGGCTGGGGAATGTAACATCCAAGTGCCAGCAGAGTCAGTGTCTGGCGAGGCCTCCTCTTACTTCATAGAAGGCAGTCTTTCCCTGTATTCTTACTAGGACCTCTTTTATAAGAGAACTAATCCCATTTGTGAGGGCTCTGCCCTCAAAATCTAATTATCTCCCTAAAGCCCCAACCTCCTTTAAAAATGTTTCTATTTGTGTATAACCATAGGGTGGATACTTGAAGGCCATAGTGATCAAAAGAGCATGGTATTGGCACAAAAATAGAGATACTGAGATTTGGAACGGTATAGAAAACCATGAGATGAAAGTAACCTCTTACATCCACCTGATCTTTGATAAACCAAACAAGAAAATACACTGGGAAAAAGAATCCCTATTCAATAAATGGTGTTGGGAGAACTGGATAACCACATGTAAAAGACTGAAACCAGACCCACACCTCTCACTACTTACCAAAATTGACTCAAGATGGATGAGAGATTTAAATCTAAGGCATGAAACAATAAAAATGTTTGAAGAAAGTGTAGAGAAAACACTTGAAGACGTCGGCCTGGGGAAAGACTTTATGAAGAAGACTCCAGTGGCAATTGCAACAACAATAAAAATAAACAAATGGGACTTAATTAAACTGAAAAGCTTCTATACAGCTAAGGAGACAAACTTCAGAATGGGAAAGGGTATTTGTATATTATGAATTGGACAAAAACTTGATAACTAAGACCTATAGAGAACTCAAATTAATCAACAAAAAACATCCAACAATCCCATGTATCACTGGGCAGGAGAGAAGAATAGAACTTCCTCTGAAGAAGACAAATGGCTAACATGAAAAAATGCTCATTGTCCCTAATTATCAGAGAAATGCAAATCAAAACCACCCTAAGATATCACCTAACCCCAGTGAGAATGGCCCACATCACAAAATCTGAAAGCTGCAGACACTGGTGTGGATGTGGAGAGAAGGGAACACTTTTCCACTGCTGGTGGGACTGCAAACTAATATAACCTTTTTGGAAGGAAGTATGGAGAATCCTCAAAGAATTCAAACTACACCTCCCATTTGATCCTGCAATCCTATGACTGGGCATCTATACAGAAGAAAAAAAATCCTTTATTATAAGGACATTTGCACTAGACTGTTTATCGCAGCTCAATTTACAATTGCCAAAATGTGGGAACAGCCTAAATGTCCACCAACCCAGGAATGGATTAACCAGCTGTGGTATATGTATACCATGGAATACTGTTCAGCCATTAAAGAAAGATAGAGGCTTCACATCTTTTGTATTAATTTAGATGGAGGTGGAACACATCCTTCTTAGTAGAGCATCATGAGAATGGAGAAGCAAGAATTCAATGTACTTTATTCTAATATGAAGGCAGTAGATGAGTTAATGGAGAATGAGGGAGCAGGGAGAGAGGTGCAGAAAGGGGGTTGGGAGTCATGGTGTATGGCATACCTCTTGGGGGTGGGGCACAATTGTAAGAGGGACTTTACCCAACAAATGCAATCAGTGTAACCTAATTATTTGCACCCTCAATGAATCCCAAACAATACAAAAAAGAACACTGCAAAATATGAATATGATAAAGAATTCAGTAAGGGGTGGTGCCTGTGGCTCAAAGGAGTAGGGCGCTGGCCCAATATGCCAGAGGTGGCGGGTTCAAACCCAGCCCTGGCCAAAAAAAGAAAAAAGAATTCAGTAAGTATTAGAAAAATATTTTTAAGCATTTGTATTTAAACTTAATAACATAAAATGGAGAAATCTTTGTGATTTAGAGAAATTGCAAAACCGCACATAGATAAAATTGATGTAAAATTTTAGATAAGTTAAAAGATTGAATTACTGAAATCAAAGTGTCTAATACATTTTTAAGTGTTTCCCTTTAAAGTAATATCCCCAAATTTTACTTACAATATAGCAGTAATGTTACTGGACTTGGGCTATTCAATGAAGAAAACATCTAGTTGAAATTTATTTTTGTAATAAAAAAACTTTCTATATGTATGTATAAATATAACAAGACTATAAAATATTCGGATAGAAATCTAACAACTGTATTTATTTCTATGGAACTCATTATTAACAACAAATTGGAGAAATAATCCTTCATTTTTATGGCAGTGGAAATTAAAAAAGCAAAGCACTGGAAAAAAGCCTTATCATACCTCATTCCTCCTAAGCCCCACCTCCCAAAACTGTTTTGAATATGCATATTTCACTATTAAATTACAAACCTGAAAAAGGGGCTGGCCTATGGACAATGAGACATCAACTTCTTCAGATGTTAATGATAATTATAAAATTTATCTATATGTAGTATCAAAAAACTTTGATTAGTTTCTTCAGCTTTGGTTTATTGAAACACTTCATTTTAATATTAAAAGGGGGAAGGGAAGGAGAACACACAAAAAAAGTAGTAGCAAAGCACACAGGGAGAAAATATGAACAGAAACATCAGAGGAAGTATTTATAAGTAATAGTTAAATAGATGTCACCTGAAGACAAAGACACCAGAGGTGAGAACACGTGACAACAGAGGTAAAGACTAAGGTGCTACAGTGGTAAGCCAAGAAATACCAAAGACTGCCAGCAAGCCACCAGATGTTAGGACAAAGGAAGGATCCTCCTCTACAAGTTTCAGAGACATCATAGCACAGACACCTTTTTCAGACTTTTAGTCTCCAGAATTAAGAAAATAAATTTCTGTTGCTTTAACTCACTCAGTTTATGGTACTTGGTTATAGTAGCCCCAGGAAACTAATCCCAAATACATACAATTCACCACAGGTCTCTACTACTGGATTAGTTAATGATCAATTATTTAAAACTAATATTTGGAAAAGTTTTTATTAAATGAATAGACACATTAATCATATCTCTTCTGATAAAAAGTTCTGTATTTCACTTTTAGATCTTTTTCATATTATTAAAATAATATCATTAATATGGGCATCACTACAGACCATGTGTGTAGTCACAGAAAAACTGTTAAGATACACGTGGAGTTTCAAATATTAATCAAGTACAAGTTTACACAAAACTGAGTAACATTTTTATTTTAAGACGTCAGAACTAATTACAATAAGTGCCCCTCCCAACTATACAAACTGCTGTATGTATTTAAACTTGCTTCTTCTTTCATCTTTTTATCTGCGTGAAAAGAAGAGTACTTTCTTCATTCAAGAGATTTTTGATGTTGTAATAATTACCTAAAAGTAAAGTGATAAAAAAAAAAACTTATTTCCATAGGAATCATTTCCCTTTGATTATTTACTCATCACGTGGCAGTTATAATATATAACATAAAATAAAAACAATTCACCCAACCCAAAGTAACTAATTTAATTCCATGAACTGAAAGATTTAAGAGTTAACTATCACAAATGATCCAAGTAAGGCTTGAAATAACATAAATCTCTCTTTGTTATAGTAATAAATACAGAGATGAGTTAATCAAGGGTACAGAAAGGGACATCTAAAAATAGAGATCTAAAAATAGACCTGCTGTTCTATCCTACAATTCCTCTACTATGTATATATCTAGAAGACCAAAAATCACATTACAAGAAAGATATATGTACCAGAATGTTTATTGCAGCCCAATTCATAATTGCTAAGTCATGGAAGAAGCCCAAGTACCCATCAACCCATGAATGGATCAATAAATTGTGGTATATGTACACCATGGAATATTATGCAGCCTTAAAGAAAGATGGAGACTTTACCTCTTACATGTTTACATGGATGGAGCTGGAACATATTCTTCTTAGCAAAGTATCTCAAGAATGGAAGAAAAAGTATCCGATGTACTCAGTCTTACTATGAAACCAATTTATAGCTTTCATAAGCCAATTATAGCCCAAGAAGAAGGGGAAAGGGGAAGAGGGAGGGGAGGGGAGGGAGGAGGATGGGTGGAGAGAGAGTAATTGGTGGGACCCTACGGTGCATCTTACAAGGGTACATGTGAAATTTACTAGGTATAGAATATAAATGTCTTAACACAATAACTAAGAAAATGTCATGAAGGCTATGTTGATCAGTTTAATGAAGGCATTTCAAATTGTATGTAAAACCAGCACATTGTACCCCATGATTGCATTAATGTACACAGTTATGATTTAATAAAATAAAAAAAAAAGAATAGAAAATCTCTTTCTGACACCAATCTTTATTAGGTCTTTAGAACTGCTGTTGATTCCCCTAACCAGGATATAATGCAAATACAAGGCCAATGTACAAAGGCACAGTATTAACTAAAAATCTCAAAATTAAAAAAAGGCAAACGCTACTTTTTTTCTTTTTCTTTTTTTTTTGGAGACAGAGTCTTACTTATAGTTACCCTCAGTAGAGTATTGTGGCATCACAGCTCACAGCAACCTCAATTCTCTTGCCTCACCCTCCCAAGTAGCTGGGACTACAGGCACCCACCACAACGCCCGGCTATTTTTTTGTTGCAGTTGTTGTTGTTTAGCTGGCCCAGGCCAATTTCAAACCTGTCACACTTGGTGCTTGTGGTTGGCGTCATAACCACTGTGGTATGGGCGCCAACCCCAAATGCTACTCTTAAATAAAATGGGGTGATAAATAACAGCAAAAGTGCACTACAGATAAATAAGCACTACATATGCTACTACATATACTACTGAGACTTTCTATATATTAGAAATTGATACATATTAAGATTAACTGAGGGTGGCACCTGCGGCTCAGTGGGTAGGGTGCTGGCCCCATATACCGAGGGTGGTGGGTTCGAACCTGACCCGGCCAGCTAAAACAGCAATGGCAACTGTAACAAAAAATAGCCGGGCATTGTGGTGGGCACCTGTAGTCCCAGCTACTCCGGAGGCTGAGGCAAGAGAACGGCTTAAGCCCAAGAAAGAGTTGGAGGTTGCTCTGAGCTGTGACGCCACAGCACTCTACCGAGGGCAACATAATAAGACTCTGTCTCAAAAAAAAAAAAGAAACAAAAAAAAAGATTAACTGAGTTAAATATATTTAAACAGTGCTGACTAACAAATACCAAGGATTATATCAATTTAACTACTATTACTGTCTCTTTCAGTTAGAACTCAGAGATTTTGGTTGTTTTGCTCACTTAATATCCCAAACTTTTAGGATGGATTAAACTACCTGTTTCCAATGACTTGTGTTCTGTATGTTTACAATAACCCACTAAAATCTGAATACATAATTTCTTATCTCTAAGAAATAAGGAGAAATAATCTTCCTGCTACCTTGAAATACAATGTGTCTTCTAAATAAATATTTTTTAGTTTATTTAAAAATAAACAACTTGTTCACTTTTTATGTACCAGAACAGTAATACAATTACTTAATGATAAATTAAAGAAAATGCAGTAGAATCTCCATAGTTGATCGCCTCCCTACACTGACCACATCCTTAAGTTGACCTAATTTTTCATAAACCAGACAGGCACCTTCTGTACGTGTCAGTACAGTAGGCCTAGTTTCTTATGTGGACTACCTCCATATGCTGGCCAGTTTGTTACAGTCCCTTGGGTGGTCACCTTATAGAGGTTCTACTGTATGTACCAAACTGCTTTGGCATCAGTCATATCACACTTCATTTTGAGCACTGTGGCTTCAATTTTCATAATGCCCTTGAGCAACTATATAGATATTATCTAGGTATGTAGAATAAAATGTCATTAATTACACTTACCTGAAGGAATATAGAAAGAATCCCCAGTAGTTATTATGTAAGATGTTTCATGTAAGGTACACAAAAGGTAACCAAAGTTAACATAAAAGATCTGCAAAATTAAAAATAAAAATCTCATTTCTAAGTGAACCACAACAATCCCACTCCAAAGAACCATAAAGAAAATGTGGAAGGTAGAATAACAATTCCCTGACAACTATCTACATTCTAACCTCTAGGACTTGTAAATATATTATTAATTCATGGCAAAAGGAAACCTGAGAGTAGTAAAATATTCTTGATAATGCAGGGGGGCCCAATCTAATCACATGAGCCCTTACAAATGGAGAACTTTCTACTGCTGGAAGCAAAGGAGAAATGAAGCATAAGTCAGAGAAATTCAAAGCATGGAAAGAATTTGCACTGGTGCCGGCAATCAAAACACACGGGCCATAAGGAACATACATACCCAAGGAACCAAAAATTCTGATGATTTGAGTATGTTGGCATGTTTTCCCCTGTTCTCCACATTATTTAACTTTAGTATTTTTTATTTCTTAATCTTTTCTTGGTGACTTCTAGAAGACCTCTATATACAGCTCTCATAATTTATGTGTTAATTCTTCAGTGGTTCTCCTGTATAGTATCTATTTTTCTGACCAAAATACAGTAGAATCTCCATAGCTGACCACCTCCTAAAGTTGATCTAATTTTCATAGACCGGATATGCACCACATGTACGTATAGTACAGCAGGCCTAGATCCTTATGTTGACCACCTTTGTGTGTTGATCAGTTTGTTACAGTTCTTTGGGTGGTCAACTTATAGAGGTTCTACTCTATATATAAAGAACTTGTATCCTGCACATTTGCATAAATGTTTATCCCCAGACTTGTCATACAGTTATTCTTCAAAATGACATGCTTAAACTAATTTTAAAATGCTTAGTACAGTGCCCGGAACATACAAGTACCATATAACAGTTTGTTGTACCATATAATAATTTTTTCCATTACTAAGTCAAATAAAAATGCAACTATTTTCTTCCTGCAATGCATTTCAGTGGTTTCTCATTTCTGCAATTATAATCAATGTTTCAATAAATAACTATGTATGTTCAGATTATTTCTTAACTTTTAAATTATTTCCCCTAAGAAATATTTCTAGAAATGAGATTCATAAGTCATAGGATATGAATATTTTTTAAATAATGTCCACTAACTGAGTAATTATCAAGTGTCATTTGGCTTTAATTGTGGATTTCTTTGAATATTAGCTAAGTTAAACACTTTCAAACATTTACTATTTGAGTATCTTTTTGTACAGTAAAGGCATTACAGTTTAATAAGTATCTGCTATGTTTAGTGACAACATTTCATGCTGTTTATCCTCATTATTAACTGTTCCTTTATCAGTCCTACTGCTTTTAAAAAGTGTTTTTATGGCTAGGCTGGATGGCTCATACCTGTAATAGTAGCACTCTGGGAGACCGAGCCAGGAAGATCCCTTGAGCTCAGGAGTTCAAGACCAGTCTGAGCAAGAATGAAACTCTGTCTCTACTTAAAAAAAAAAGTCTGGGACATGGTGGTGGGCACCTACCCAGGAAATTCACGACAAACCAGGATTTTGAGGTTGTTGAGAGCTAGGCTGATACTATTATACTCTAGCCTGGGCCAAAAAAGTGAGACTGTCTCAAAAAAAAGGTGTTTTTATTTTTTAAATAATAAATGGAGGCCAGTAACATTTTATGATTGGATTAATGAATATTTTTACATTATTTCAAGTCAGGATTCTAGTTACATTAATAAGTATTGGTTGGTTGACTTTAAATAAATTTAACAAATAAAAACATTTTTCTGTGTACCACAGAAACAGGATTTCATTTCTGAGAAAAAACATTTTAATGTTTCATCAAATCTAATAAATTGGAGGTGCATCTACAACAAAATATAAATATGTATATGTGATGAAATATACTCACCAATATATCTGAGCCAACATGCTGCTTTCCCTTTTCTTGATGTGGTCCTATTATCAATTTCCCAGTAGAAAAAAAGGGTGTATCCAATGTTTTATATACTTCCAACTCACCATGCTTAACAAAAAATTGACATGTATCTCGTGGTCGCACAAGATCTAGGTAAAAATAGTAATATAAATATAAACCAATAGCAATAAAACAGATTGGTCAATGATACAACACACATACACACACATAGACAGAACAAAGAGTTATCTCCAGATAGAAACCTGCTTTACAGGGACAGGAGTGAGCACATGATTGAGTCTGGAGCTAGAATGTTAGAAGTCAAATCTGGCCTCTGCCTTGTAAGGAATATGACCTCAGGCCAGTTAATTAAGCTCATTTTCTCTACCTCAATTTCCTTTTCTGTGAAGTGCAATAATAATAGTCCATCTATATTAATTAGCTGCTATGCCTATTAAAGAGTTAGTATGTGTAAGCCACTTAAAACATTGTCTAGCACAGAGTAAGCACTATGTTAAGGCTTAGTTTTCAATAATGGCAGCATTATTATTACTAGCTGAGATTTAACACAACTTTTTTTTTTTTTTTTTTTTTTGCCGGGGCTTGGTTTGAACCTGCCACCTCCAGCATATGGGGCTGGCACCCTACTCCTTTGAGCCATAGGTATGGCCCAGTAACACATTTTTTTTTTAAATTTAAAATAGCCCACAAGTGTATCATCATGATGCCAATAGACATTTTTCCTATTTGCATGAGTGATAAGACATTTATCAGGTAAAAGCTTTGAGAAATCAGGATTGTATTACTCAGAAATTACAATCTGACTTTCAAAAATTTCTCTTTCACTTACAAACCTTCCCAGATCTATAATTAATACATTCTTTTATCACCAGCTTCTATTTTCTTAGATATTTTAGAATGTAAGTGATCGCACAGAACAGGTGATATAGAAAAATACACATATTGAAGAAACTGATATAAAGTAAACTGACAACAGTCATAATTTTTCTAATCTGGTAGAATACAGCTATGTTTTTAGTTAAGACATTATACTAAATGAAATTCTCTGTACTTCTACCTCTGTTTCCAAAAAACAGTCTGATTACAGAAGTAATTTGACTATTAACTTAAGAAGTCAAATGGAACCTAGTTCATTGCTGACATTTTAATTGGGAATACTATTATCACCTTTCTGTTTTGACTTATTTGTATTCTAACTTAGGACAAATAATTCTTATTACTAGGTGGTACAATCGTAATAGCTGTTAAAATATTTAAACATTTTCTATGTGTAAATATTGCCTAGTTGGTAATTGCTGAGTATTCCTTAACCTCTACCCCACTGTAGTCAATCCTTGGGACCTTGCATAGCTTTCCAGAGACTAAATACTTAATGCCTATGCAAAGCTAGAGATGTCCAGAACCTTGTTGTCAGCCTGTGGTTAAGGCTGGCATTTGTATGGCTGACTGATGTCCTTGCTAGTCATCCTCACCGAAGTTTCATGTCCCAGGTACCATTACTGGCATTCACAGGCCCAGAAGGGTTTCTGTGCCCTGTTCCCAATCCCTGCCTGACCTCCCAGTTAGAATGTATCCTCGGGTCTGTCAATTAACTTGCTACAACTCCTTATAAACATGCCCTGTCACTGTGTCTCCCTGGTCAAAGAAAGCCTCAGATCCTTTTGGAAGAGACACAAATGATACATAAATCACTTGTACCCCTTGAGGACAAACACATGGTACTGTATATCCCCTAGAGGTAGTCTGCCATCAATACTCTTCACAGTTGTCTTCACATAAACTGCTTAATAGAAGTAGACCCTCTGCTGGACATTAGGGCTGAAAGAGTTCAGAAGAGCAAAGGAAAGTAGATGAGCTGATCATCAAGCAGTTTGTTCTTACTAATGGTTTGATTAAGTATTTTCAGTATCATCTCTGATCTTACCCATGAGAATAATCTCTCTTGTCTGGGGGTCCTTTACCCTTGTTGGTTGCAAAGGATCTCCAAGAGGTATATCCAGATTTACCATTAATCTACTCCCTGAAAAAGAAATGCCATTGAAATACAAACCACTTACTTAAAATTCTTCTCAATTATATAAAAGTATAGTACAAAATATAAGCATAGAAAAGCTATAAAAGAAATACATCATGGGCATAATGGCCTCTTCCTGTTTATAAATGATCACTCTGACAAACAAAAATTCAAACTCAAAACTCACAATACATCTATTTTTTATAAATGAGACCTTGCTCCACCACTGCCCAAGATGGTATCAACTCTTGGCCTCAAGTGATCCTCCTGCCTTGGTCTCCCCAGGTGCTGGGACCGGAGGTGTGAGCCAACATACCCAATCAAAAAATCCATAATGATTTAATGGAGAAGCAAACACCCTAAATTTTCTATTTTTTTTTCTATAAGTCTATCCTAGCATGTCAACTCCTGAACTACTGTATCATCAAGAAGTTAAATAATATTTTGCAAATTCTCTAAAACAGTTTTAAGTATGTAATTCACTTTAAAAAGAATTCGGCAGAGTTTAAATGGCAATAGAAGATAAAGATGATCATAATATAATAAAGGGAGCAATTAACCCTAATATAGGAGTTCCCAGACTGATAAAACAAATCCTATTAGATCTAAGCAAAGGAATAAATAATTGCATCATAATTGCTGGGAAATTCAATACTCCTTTGACAGAGGACAGATCATCAAAGAAGAAAATTAATAAATTAACCCTGGATTTAAAAATGGGACTCTAGAATAAATGGACCTAACAGGCATTTAAAGTACATTCTACCCCAAAACAACTGAATATACATTCCTCCCATCAGCACATAGGATATTCTCTAAAATTGATTAACTCTTACATCACAAAACATGTCTCAGAAAATTCAAACATATCAAAATTATATGATGTATCTTCTCAGACAACACTAGGGGTTCTTTCTGGGGTGATGAAATACTCTACAATTGATTGTGGTGATAGTTACAAAATTCAGTGACTATACTAAAAGCATGGAATTATACATTTTAAATGAGTGAATTATATTTAAGTTTTATTTTCAATAAAACTAGTTTTTTAAAAATCTTCTTTAAAATATCTTTTATAAAAACAAAAACAAAAAATAGATAAAATGTCCTTTGTACCCACAGATTGGGCATGGAAAAGATAAGCTTCATTTAACAGAGCAATTTAATCATGAAGAAATGTTTTAAGCTATATGTTTTTTTGTTTAGTGTAACAAAGAGAAATTTTATTTAAAAACAAAGAGGAAGTTTACAACACTTCCAAAGACAGAAGTGGGTCCCCCTCATGGAGAAGGAAAGGTGAGAGAGACCTATACTACATTAACCAATTTTTAATTAATAAAATTATCTTACTTCCAAAATTTGGGGAAAAATTGACATTAAAAATGAATTCTGGTTCGGTGCCTAAAGCTCAAGCAGCTAAGGTGCCAGCCACATACACCATAGCTGGAGGGTTTGAATCCAGCCCGGGAGTGCCAAACAACAATAACTACAACCAAAAAATAGCCAGCTGTTATGTTGGGCACCTATAGCCCCAACTACTTGGGAGGCTGAGCCAAAGAGAATGGCTTAAGCCCAAGAGTTGGAGGTTGCTGTGAGTTGTGATGCCACAGGCACTCTATCCAGGGAGACAGCTTGAGGCTATGTCTCAAACAAACAAACAAACAAAAACCAAATGAACTCTACCTACAGTATCATATCTGAAATTTTTGAAAGTAAATTTAGAATTTTGCAAAGAGCTTCCTGTCAAAGCACTCTTACTTAAAGTAAAATATAAACGTTACTTTCAGAAATAAATGCATACTTCTCTCATCATTATCAGGACAGATCCTTTTCTGATTAGCTATTCTCTTGACATTCTCCATGTTTCTCTTTGTCTTTCTTGTGGATGACACTGTGTGTGGAGATAATATTCCACCAATCACCAGTGCTCCTGAAATATAATAACAAAAAATTTTAAATATCCTATTTGGCAAGGAGAAAATCTTGAAGCAAAACTCTTCAAGTTAATACACCACATTTGCTTTCAAAATATCAGGGAATGTATTACTACAACTACATTCTCCAGCTAATATTCCAAATAACAAAAATAGCAACCAATTTCACTTATTTCTCTACCATACTAAATCTAGAAGCATTCATGGAACATGATTGGTTGATCTCTGCTGCTTGTTTGAAATCAGTGAATGTTAAACAACAACTAATGAACTGTTCATAGGGGTGCGCAACCTTTATTTTTTCTGCCACACACTAGAACAGTGGTTCTCAACCTTCCTAATGCCGCCAACTACTTTAATACAGTCCAAAGGGGTCGCAACCCATAGGTTGAAGAACCACTGCACTAGAAGAATAAGGGTTGTCTTGGGCCACAAATTAAATACACAAACACTGCCTTGGTTCCCATCATTCAAGTGGCTAAGGTGCCAGCCACATACACCAGAGCTGATGAGTTCGAATCTAGCCCAGGCCTGCTAAACAATGACAACAACAACCAAAAAATAGCTGGGCGTTGTGGCGGGCGCCTGTAGTCCCAGCTACTTGGTAGGCTGAGGAAAAAGAATTGCTTAAGCCCAGGAGTTGGAGGCTGCTGTGAGCTGTGATACCACACGCACTCTACCCAGGGTGACAGCTTGAGGCTCTGTCTCAAAAAATAAATAAATAAATAAATACACAAACACTAACAAAAGCTGATGAGCAAAAAAAAAAAAAAAGCTTCTGTGCATACTTGTTGTGATATCTGACACCATAGATAAGCAAAACGGTCCTCAAATAATCCACATGGTCCATGAACCATAGGTTCGATACCCCAGTGTTCCTTGGACTTGATTTGATTTCCATCAAAGACAGGAAATAACATAAATATAACACTGTACTTTGCTGCCTATCATACATCATTTTGTAGAAAAATATAAGAAGATAAGTTTATAAGCATAATAATGGGAACCATTTTACCAATCAAATGCTTTATTTTATGCTATTGGAAACCTTGTCAGATACAACAATAACACTCTATAAACACACAAATAGCTTCCAAAGAGAAAAAAATACCAGTGTCACTATAGAAATCAGACAAATCTGGATTTGAATTCTCCTCTTATATTTTTGGGAGATGATGATTAAATGAAGGAATAATGGATGTAAATGTGTAGCACAGTGCCTGGAACATAGTACACATAAACTTTTTATGGACAGACATTATAATGTAAATGAGGTTTTACCTGATGGCCTTACTTGATAATCTATTCGCTCCCCTCGCCAGTATTCCAGAGGTTTCAGACGTATTCTCTTGGTCCTGCGAACATTTGGTGTGTTGGAGGGAAACACTATAAGCAGATGTCAGAGAAAATCATCAACATACAAGCGTGCAATTGATGACACTTAGAAGAAAGATTCATACATGTATTACTTTTTACAACATGAATATTTGTCTAGAAAAAAGGACTGAAAGTACTCAGATGACTCTATGGGTTCCATAGCTCCCAGTTTTGCTTACTTACCATTCTAGCTACTGCTGTGTTTAGGAGATAACGGAATGTAAGTTGAGGGGAGAAGCTATCAAGAATGGCATCTACCTAGCAGTCCTATTTTTTTTGGAGAAACCTTTCCACCCTAATTTCTTAAGTTGGGTGGAATCATGTTCCCCACTATAGGACAGAAGAGTGAGAGAGCTACACGATTTATAAAATGGACAAAAGACTAACTCAGTGGCTTTTGATGATTTACTGTGAAATTCATGAAAACTAAGCACATAAATTTAATTTAGCCATCAATTAATCCAAGTAATAGTATTTCCCCCATTTAAAAAAGGTTATATTAGAAACATATTCAATTATATCATTATCCTCCACTGAAATGTTAAAAGAGAAAAATGATATTACCTAATTTATGATGTACTTTGTTGTTTGGTGTCATTTTAAATCTTTTTAGTCTTGAGTCATCTACAAAATGCAAAAGATAATATCATGAGAAATGGCTGTCTACTCCATATTTACTTAAATTGTGTAAACTATTCAACTTTAGTATAAGTACTTTAAACAAAACCTTATCTGAGAATATATTTTATTATTTTTGGTCTTTCTTACTGAGGAACAAAATCTAAGAAAAAGGATTTTTAAGACAGCTAATTACAGGCAGGTTCTTTGGAGAGCAATCATCAGATAATCTGTATTTTTGAATGTATCACTGGAGAAAAAACACTTCAAGATAACAAAGAGGTAAAAGAGACACCAAGAATGAAGGTAGAAGCCAGATTTCTAGTGTAGAGCCACTGAAAGCTTAGATGCTAGCAAGACAGATATGGTAAAAAGAGAGTGTTTATACACTATTGATGGGAATTTAAAAATTAGTACAACCTCTATGGAATACAGCATGGAGATTTCTCAAAGCACTAAAAAATAGACCTATCATTCAATCCTGCAATACCTCTACTGGGTATCTACCTAAAAGAAAAAAAGTGATTACATAAAGAAGTCATATGCGCTTGTATATTTATTCCAGCATGATTCACAATTGTAAAGATATGAAATCAAAGGCGGCTGGGCGGTGGGAGGGTGACCGGAAAGATCACCTATATATCTAACAAGGGTATAAGTGAACTTTTCTAGAACTAGAATATAAATGTTTTGACACAATGACTGCAAATGACATGAAATTTATGTGAACCAGCTTGATGAAAGTATCTCAAAATGTATATGAAAACACTACACTGTACCCCATGTTTGCATTAATGTATACAGCTATCATTTAATAAAAAAAGATATGAAATCGACCTAAATTCCCATAAACTTCGATAGAATTTCTTAAAAAGTTGTATATATACATATATACACATGAAATACTACTCAGATAGCCATAAAAAAAAACTGAAATAATGTTTTTTTCAGCAATTTGGATGGAATTAGAAGCCATTATCCTATGTGCAGTATCTCACGAACAGCATGTTTGTACTTATAAGTGGGGCTAAGGGTATACACAGTCATAAAAATTGGTATATTGGACACAGGAAGACTCAGAGGGCAGGGAAGAGGTGAGGGATGAAAATTTACCTATTATGTACAATGTATACTATTTGGGTGTCAGGTACACTTAAAAGCCTTGATTTTGTAACCCCAGCACTTTGGGTGACTGAAGTAGGAGAAATGCTAGCAGCCAGGAGTTTAAGACCAGCCTAGACAATAAATCAAGACCCTGTCTCCAATGAAAAAATTAGCCCAGTGTAGTGTATGTCAGTATGGCTTATAGTTCCAGCTAGTTGGGAGGCTGAGGTGGAAGGATCACTTGAGCCCTGGACGTCAAGATAACAGTGGAAACTGGCTCTACACTCTAGCCTGTCATTCTGGAGCATCACTTCTGCAGTATTCCTGTGGAATATGCTTGGCACTCATTTGATCATGAGGAAACATCAGAAAGGGTCAGGTTGAAGGTCATTCTAAAGAATGAAAACTCTATGCTCTTTAAAAATGTCATTGTTTTTCTTTTTAGGAAAAGACTAAGGAAATGTTCAATGTTGAATGAAATGGGGGAGGGGCATGACAGTTAAATGCCCCCCCCCAATGGATTGGGCACAGGGGCTCACGCCTATAATCCTAGCACTCTAGGATGTCAAGGTGGGTGGATTACTTGAGCTCAGGAGTTCAAAACTAGCTCTGAGCAAGATTGTGACCTTATCTCTACTAAAAATAGAAAAACTAGCCAGGTGTCATGGCAGATGCCTGTAGTTCCAGCTATTCAGGAGGCTGAGGCAAGATCACTTGAGCCCAGGAGTTTGAGGTTGCTATGATGCCACCTCACTTTACCAAGGGCAACATAGTGAGATTATCTCAAAAAAGTAAAATTAAATTAAAAAAATAAAGCGACTAATACAGAGACAACTCGTAAATTTCAAAGAATAAGAAATCCTAATTAAGCACAGGAATGGAAGAAAATAGGTTTCCACAAAGAAAAAAAAAGAAATAAGCTGCCTTCAAATGTCTATTCATAAGCATTAGTTTTCATGAACCAAAAAAGCAGCAGCTGTATAGTTTAAAAGAGAAAAGATCGTAAGTTGAGATTGTTTTCCTACAACTGGTGGCTCATTGTATTTAAAAAACAAAACAAAACAAACAAACAAACCAAAAAAAAAACAAGCCTGAGTCCTTTTAGCATATGTGGGAGTACAGAATGTCTACCAACTTTAAAAAGTAACAAGCATATCTGCTGATAATTAAGTATACATGAGTTAAACACATTTTTCAAAGGAAAAAATATTAACACTACTCAAACATAACAATTCAATAATGTGCTGTTTCTAAGCCACTTTTAGTTCTTTAAGAAAGATTAAATAAAAGGATGAACAAAGAAGAAATACAACTAACCAAAAGCAATTAGAAGCCACATTACTGATATTAGACAAAACAGAATACTAAGTAAAAAGTGCTTAACAGGATCAAGAACACAAATTTGACCAAAGTAGTCCTCAACAGATCTCAAATCAAAAAGTAGGATATAAATAATCAGAATAGTATCAAGCGCAACATGTCCAAATCTAATATTCTGTCTTTTTCCCCAAAATCCTCTTCTTCCTAATAGTTCCCAAATAAAGTAATAATAAGGCCATTCTTCCAGGCGCTTAGGCCAAAAATCTTGACATTATCCCTGATATCTCTCATTCTCTCACCCCACATCCCACCCATCAGGAGATCCTATTATTGACTCTATCTTCAAAAATATTTAAAATGTTACTATTGCTCCCCACACTCTATTGTTACCACCATGGTCCAAGCCACCATAGCTCACCAGAATTATTTTAATGCCTCACCAACTAGTCTTCCTGCTTCCAACCTTCCTCTGCCTCTCAGCTCCATCAGTTCACTCCTAACACAGACAGCAGTTGCAGTCATTCTGTTAGCACTCTTTTGCTCAAAACTCTCCAACAGTTTCCCATCTCTCTTAATAAAAATCAATAACCTTTAACATCCTAGTGATCTTTCATTCTGTTAACTCTCTCTTTCTCTTCCTCCCCTCTAGCCCTCTGGCCTATCTGTCGTTCCTTAATCAAGACTTAGACTGCTTACTACATCAAAACTTCTGACTTTGATCTTAACTCTGCCCAATACATTGTTTACTTAGATAGCTGGATGGTTTGCTATTTCACCTCTTCTGTATCTTTGCACCATAATCACTTCCTCAGTGAGGCCTTCCCTACTCATCTACCCAAAAATATAACCTCCATTTCCCAGCCTAAAATCCCTGCTTTATTTTTATTCTCTTACCATCAAACAAATCATAAATTTTTGTTCTCTTTTTATATTGTCTATTATCTGACCCCCCCCGAAAATAAGTTCTAGGAGGGCAAAAATTTTTGCGTATTTGTTCACTGCCACCTCTCTAAGACCCTAATATACAGTAAATATTCCATAATATTCTATAAATAATGTAAATGTCCATAAATATCCAAAGCATATTCAAAAATAATATCCATTTATGCTATCAACCACATAACTAGATATATATACCTTAAATCATAAATATCTAAAGCATATGCAAAAAATAATATCCATTTATGTTATTAACATGACTAGATATGTATCTTTAAACCCCATATCTGCATATAAAATATTCTCTTTTTCAAACATCCTTGGAAATAATACAAAACTAAAGACATTAAAAAACACAAAGAAAATCTTAATAAAATTAGACAAATAATACAGGCCAATTACTCCAGAACAGTGAAA